AGACTCAAACTTCGAAACAACTGTGGTCCTATTGTCTGATCCAATACATTGGACCAAAACATTCCTGTCGCCTAGAGAAACTTTCTGCCGATAGCCGTTCCTGCTCATCTCTGCTGAGAATCCAGGTGCGGGGGGGGGGGCTTTATTTTAATGGACATACCAGGCAGCCAATCATATGTGTAGGAAGGAAGGGGGTCCATCCAAGATGAGGCATCTGTTTTGTCTGAATAACAACCTGCATAATAGTCTTAGTGTCATAATGTTGACTTTTTGACACCGTTTGATTTGGTTACTGTGTTAAGAAGTCTAATGATAATATAAATAAATTATATAATTTTTGAAAAAGTTTGACCGCCCGGATTGAAAGCGGATTTGTTTGCCCATGCTTTACAGCTTATACAAAATAATGTAAATTTAATTTATTTTTTTAACTTATAGTCAAATTGTTATACCGTAAGGTTAAACGGTCCACAGTCTTGCCATTACTGCTTCCAAATATAACTCAAAGTTTTCTGTCTTTTTTCAGGCTGAAGGAACACTGAGCACTGGATGTTTCACATGTGAGCACAATGAACCACAAACAAGAAAAACCTTTATTCCATAAGTACTAATTGCAGACGGAAAGTTGTGCAACAGGGAATTTAGTCTGGTTAACTGGGAATACTCAACACAGTATTACACAGTTTCTTGCCTTAGTTTAACTTTTCATCGACGAGGTACAACTTGAATACAATAATCATTTATTTAAACTTCATATATTCCAAAATTGGCCTTACTTTTCCATGCCAACATCCCATACGTCAAAACGATACAAGACTTGATATATTGTTCGCTTTTAAATAGTATCTTTTAAAGCGGAGTTTGAATGAATTCTTTTGGAGTGTTTTCACAACCCCGACCCCAGGATAATCCTCCCTGTAATCTTTTCTTACCTAATCCGAGGCAATTATTTCCTGTTTGCTTATTACAAAAAAAAAGAGATACATGTACATGTTGCTTAAAAAAATCTTTTTAAAAAATGACTAGCTTCTTGTAATTTTTCTGGAATGATTTCAAATGAAACCTGTCAAAATCGTGTTTCATTTATTCACTATTTATTTATTTTTTTGTAGCCCAGCAAGACACTGCCAGGCAGAGTAGCTTTGTGAATTTACAATAGATGCAAATAAAATGATCTGAAATCTCTCAATAAACTTACCAGAACACTTTTTAAACCTGGATTTAAAAAAAGTCTGATACAAGTCTATTAGCACACCAAATATGTGTTTTTTAAAGACAAACTTAGCATACGCTAAACTGTAGTGCAACACAACACGGTGCGCTGTCTTTTTCAGCTGACAGGACTGAAATTGCCTTGGTTAAACATTAGGAGCTCGAACTACGGGAGTACTGACTTGAAAAATGAAAATGACAACTACCAATACTTTGAGTATACGTATATGCAGTAAAAGTGTACGTGTTGGCTTATGTAGCCTTTTTGTCCCAATATAATTTGTTGTTTGTCTCTATATCTGGTAAAAAAAAAAAAAAATCAGTTGAATTAAAATTAATTTATAAAGACTGAATCAGAGAGTAGATGTGCACGTCAACTCTAAATTATATGACTTTAGGTAGCGTTTTTTTTGTTTTTTGTTTTTGTTTTTTAAAGTAAATCTCTTCCAAACACTTTTTTCTCAGTAGCCTTTTTGAGCTCGTGTTTTTGATGGGTCTTCTTACTGCATACTACAGTCTCAATTCATGACATGAAGTGGGCTTTGGTCTCAGCTGGAGATGGCAGGTATCATTTAAATTGGTAAGCCTGTGACAGAGAGAGATCCACTCAGTGACACAGGCAGAATCCAGCCTCATTAATGCGCCCACATAGAGACAGAGAGATCAGGAAAGAGTCAGGTCATCTCAACCTGATGAAGTCCATTGGGAAATGAAACAGTATTTTAGAGAGTGAATTGTTAAGTTGTGGGAACACTGTATTTGGAAACATATAGCATATCCTTGGTGAAACTGTCCAATGAAAAAGCATATCAGATATATATTTACAGTATGTATTCAGGGAAGTAAATGTGATGCTTTATTGAAATGTTCCGTCTGTTTGTTGTGCAGCACAACTTTATGTATATAACTACAGAATGGAGATAAAATAAATGAGCTATTTTTTGAATGAAATTGTTGGTTTTGTTCTTCTCTGAAATCAGTCAATATTTTTCCTTTGGTGTACTAGTAGTCACGAGGGATTATCTTGCCTACCTTCGATGGAAGTAAGCTCTCACTAATAAAATACAGTATGTACTGTATAAGTATGATGGAAATATCTTGTGTTTCTGAAACACTAATTGAGAGCAGGTAGATGTATGTGTTTCATATCTGTTAATTTATGAATAATAAATGATGGAATTAATAATAGGGGAGAATGTAAAGATAGAATATTGCATATTGACGGCGATCGGTATAAACGTATGGTAGAATGTTTGATCTGTGAACTACGCACCTGCCGTCCGACTGGACGCATTAAATATAATGTTTGCCGACAAATTGATATTATTGTCCTGAGGTGTAATTGTATTGGTCCTACAGCTGTAAACTACACAAATCATAGCGAAATCTACCGTCGGTCTGTTATTATATAACAGAATAACTGGCACCTGCTGAAATCTATTGGGCAGTCAAAACAAAAACCTTAAGGGATATTTGGCATTTTACTCAAAATGTTAAAAACACAAATGCTTATATATTTATATACATTAATATATAGTAATATTATATAAAATATATATTAATCATAATATATATATATATATAAATTAGGTTAACTAATTTAGCTTAACTTAACTCCATACATTTAATTATTCGCCATAACATGAACAACACATATATATATATATACATATATACTGATTCAAATTGTAAGTCGCTTTGGAAAAAAAAGCGTTTGCTAATTGTATTGTAATGTAATATGTAATATTCTATTCTAAAAAGTAGTTCATTTCATGGAAACACGTTTTTTAAATGTAATTAACTAAATTCACTTAACTGAACAACATCTTACATCTTGTAAATGTAGTTTATTCAAACTAGCTAAAAACTAGAATAAGTCACTCGTCGGTAGAACTCTACACCTCTACTTTCGTGATTCGATATATATGTTTCGTGTTGCATATATATCTCACAATTACCATCCGCTCTTTGCCTGTTCGTGTTGATTCTGTGAGTAGTTGGAGGGCGGGAGGGAGGGGGAGAGGAGGGCAAGAGGAGGCGCAGCAAAAAGCGCAGGAGCCGCGCACAAGCGCATAGAAGAGCAGGGGGCAGGATGGGCTCTGCTTCGTCCTCCTACCGGGTTATTTTTCTCGACGTGGATGGCAGGATTCAGAAGGTATGGTTAAGAAACAACGAACAAAATAAGGAGAACAAGTTAAGAAGTAGAATTTACCCCGAGTGTTGTGGATTTTTGGCGCGAAGTCTGTTGTATTTCTTTCCTCTCGTATCGTCTCTAGCGATACTTAACCGTGGGGAGAAAGGAAAGCGTGATTAATGAGCTTGTTGCTACGTGCAACATCAATATCGCGCTTTTTGTTGTTTTTTTTTTACTTTAAAACAAAACCTTAATGACAAATATAGAGATACGTCACGCTTCTGTATTTTAAATTCATGTATTCAGTTAACGTATAGCTGAATAAACGAAATGCAATTTATATGTAAACACTCTAATTTACCAGGTGCATTGTTTAGAAATAAAATGTTAAATTCCCCGTGTAATTTATTGTAAAATTATACAATAACCTTCATAAATACTCTGAAATAGTAATAGTGTGAACCCGCCATGAGATATCTCCAGGGTGTACTGTAGAAAATGTCTAGTTTTTACTCAAGTGGTCTGAAAAATATTCTTTATTAACTGCAATTAAATTGGCTTTGTGTGTCTATGGGACAGTGGCAGGCGGGAAAATTAAATACACCTGCGGTGCTTTATTTCATCATATGCACTTTTTCTAAGGGCTGTAAATATTGAATCTTTTTTAAATCAATTTCAGCATGTCTATAGATATTTATTCAGAAAGTGAGCTAATTAAGAAAGATTTTGGTGGTAACTTTGTGCAATGTCAATCTCCTAAACATAAGCCTCAACTAAGTTAAGCATTTCAATTTGCCTTTTGCCGTTTATTATAACATGACGAAAACAATTCTCTAAATATTCCTTAACACTTCTTGTGCTGATATCACTATTTGACATAGTATATTTTCTAGGGCTGTAATCAACCAAAGAAGAAGTCTTGGTTTACTAAAGCAGTGAAATTTTGACTGAAAATTGTCTAATCACCAAGGAGGATGGAGTAGGCAGTGCTTGGTAGCGATGTCCGCCTAAATTTATTATATATAAACATAAAGATTAAAAGTATACTTGCTTTATATTTCATCGGTTTTTACCTCGTTATTTTTGCACCGAAATGAATGACACACTCATGTGTCTTTCGGCTCTGAAAGCGTTTTTGCATCATGTGGATCTGTTCAATATCGTAGCCCATGACTTCATAAATAGTCATGAAAATACATAAATATATAATAAATATATTTATATAATAAATATATAAATATATGTCTAAACAATACAGACCAAGATGAGTGCAGAAAAGTGCAGAAATAACTTTAAAGATACAACATTTAGATGATAGTGGAGGTGGAAGTTTAACGTCCAACATGGGGGGGGGGGGGGGCGGGTGTACTTGCAATTCTAAAATGATTAGTAGACTAAAACATTGTCAAACAATATGTCAATTCTGACATGTTCACATATGCCATGTTTGCTTTCAAGCTGTGATATGCAAACTTTACATTCAACTTTTTTCCGTTTTATCTATTTTTATAAAATGCTACCACACTGTTAATGTCTTTGACATGGTAGAGGAGGACTAACTATAAATGAAGTGCTCAAATTAAATAAATACTCAACAAAACGGGTGAACTAGACCTTTGCAGCGGTAGATAATACCTCTGAAGATAATCAAGAAAAATTGGCCAATCAAGGATACCAAAATCAAGAAGATCAGCACTGATTGATCTGTGCACCCAGTTCTCATTTCAAAAACCTGATTGTATGTACTTAAATTCACCTAAACTAAAAAATAAATTCTTTAGTCTAGTCAAGACTTGAGCCTTTTTAATTGTCTTTTATCTGTTGCTTTGGCACAACATGGGATACAAAATCTTATCCCATCTTCAAATTTCAGCCACTCTTTGCAGTACCAACTTTTGAGCACAACTCACATTGCCGGTAGCCGTAGCAGCACTGGTGGTATTAGTGGTCGCTACACCGTCACCCCCTCCCTCCCACCCCCCTCCCACAGTGTGACTGGTTAGTCGACGACTGCTAATTTTAAATCTTGCTTCTGTGTGCAAGGTCTTAGGTCGGTTTTTAAATTTTTTTTAAATAAAAAAGAGACGCTTGACAATTGCAATATTTTACAAAATAGATAGATGAGATTCAGTTGTCGGCACCACTGAAATACATCTAAATAACAGAGTGCAAATATAACATTTCAAATTGTTGACAATCATTTCAAAACATAGTTGTTCTTAGTCTCCAGAATAAGATCCAGAATTTATGACGCATTTAAAAAAATAAATCTCTGGTGACCTGTAGATTCTTGATTACAAAAAGGGCACGGCACCATTCCAAAATAATTAAGCTGCCCTTTGAAGGCCAAGGTGGTCCTGAGGCTATCATTTTTAACAGCAATCAATAAGTTTTATTATATACATTACATCATCACCATGCAACCAAATTGGAAAAATGGTGTAATAAACTAAACACGATGTGTAACATTCAAACACTGCTGCTTCCGGGCCAAACTTATCGCAGTGTTACTTCGTTTGGTAAGTATTGCCACTTCAAGGTACCACATTTTTTGGAGCATAAGGCGCACCGCATTATAAGGCGCAATATCAATGAACGGGTATATTTTCATACATAAGGCGCACTGGGTTATGAGGCGCATTAAGAAACAAAACAACCAGCGAAACACTTAAGCGGAATAATCAAGCATGTCCGAACCCCTTTCGTCAAATGCGAGTCAGTCTCATTGCAGTTAATTAGTTGTTCACTGATGATTCCGGCCTTCGTGACAGCCCGGACGACATTTGATACCGATACATTAACCCAGGGATCCACGATCCATTGGCAGATAGTGGTGTAACTTGCCTGGCGTTGCCTCCCTGTCTTGGTGAACGTGCCTTCTGTCATCCAATGCTCCCACACAGCTCGCAATTTAACTTTAAACGCCCTGTTAACACTAATATTTAGTGGTTGGAATACTTTGGTTAATCCCCCCGGAATGATGGCAAGCCCCGAATTAGTTCGCTTCACTTGGGTTTTGACAATATCGGTGAGATGGGCGGAAAAAAATCGATAGCCATGCGTCTAAGCCGTCCTGCATCGCACCATACATCGACAATACAAAAACACAACGCAGAGTCTCCGGGTGTTGGGATGCACGATGCGATGTTGCACGGATTTCGGTTACACGACCATACTGTAACAACTGTTGTTGAGCATCTTCTAATTGTGATAACAGAGTTAAACGTCATTGTTGGCTCCCAGTGTGCTTCAGTTGTGTGCCATCATCTGTGATGCGGGTTTTTAGGTGCACTGTTGATTTTTGAGAAAATAAAGGATTTTAAGTGCGCCTTATAGTCCGGAAAATACGGTAACTTTGGAGACGGCTAACAACCACGTGGGGTTTCATATATGTAGTCCATTTATGCACTTTTCTTCATACACAGTTCACCATGTTGGAGGTTACACGCATATGCTTTGTTAACCAGGGCACTTCTTTTAACTCAGTGTCAAGACATTGAGACCTCCATTGACCTTGTTGTAATGGTGTTGCATTTTGTCTGATTGAAGGCTGTAAACTGTAGTCTGATTCCATGATATGTTGTTTTCCTTAGGTGGTGTTCAGTAGGTTCTGCAGCCCATGTGACATCAAGGAGCTTCTCTGCACAGCCCTGGGTGTACCTCGGTAACGTACACACAAATCTTGTAAACACATAGCCAGTCTATACAGTGCCTTTTTAACGAACTGAAGCAGTGTTAATTCTCTTGATGAAGACTATGGGGAACACTTTGGTAAACAAATCAAAAGTAGATGTACATTTTAGGATGTGATGAATGGAGAAGTGATCCAATCAGAATGAATCACATTGCGAGGGTAGGCTGATCACTCCATAAGCAGAGCCACAGTTATTAGGCCGTAAGGTGAAACACGAAAAGTCTTTCAGAAATTGAATTCCGCTCCGACGTCTGGGAACTACACAATCTTTTAGTTCATAAAAAAAGGAGTTATGTTAAGCTTACAGCAAAAAGTTTGTCGCAAAAAACCCTGTCCATTTTTTATAACGAGCCATTTTATACAGAACTAGCGTCTTCAGGGCGCAATAAGATTTTGGTGCGTGAGAGGTGGCACGGTCGACACGTGACCGGATTACACCAATAGGGTAGCAGCTTTTGGTAAACAGAAAAGCAAGATGGCTGACTGCAGAGTTTCATCTAGTAGTACCGAAGAAGAGGAAAACTCACCAAAAATGAGTAAAAAAAAAGAAATCTTCACACAGGATTTCACACTTGCGCGGTAGAATACGTACAAGAAGAGTCTACAAGGGGTGAGTGTCGATACGTACCTGGAAACTACAAACACTGCCTGGATTTGGAGTTTGCAATTGCAAAAGTGAAAAGACATCTCGTGCATGAGAAAGGAGAGAGGATACGAAAGGCTGCTCAAGAAGTGAGGCCATCCCATTAACATCAAGCAGGACGGCTCAGAGTCCGACAAAGAAACTTAGACCCAGGTCAGGCCTGCCCTGGCCCCGAGCTCTAGCCCCGTCCTTCCAGCCCTGTGCACAATATGCAAGAAAAAGGACGAATTTCGTCGTAATGCAGACCTTACAGGAGTGGACAAAAAATACGCAGCTTGTACATAACACATAGGATCTGCGTGACTGTAATGGAGGGTGTACAATCTGTTCATGCTGTTGAAGTGTGATCATGAAGAATGTGGCACTGACACTGATGTGGCAGTAAGTCTGCAGACAAATTTACCATGCAGCTTATAATTTTTCACAGCGGACAGGCAACACGACACACATCTTTGACATTACCACGGTGTCTTCAGCTCTCAGAACCAGTGTGTGTTCGGCCTTGATTGTCATACATTGTCAAGTCTTCGGGTGTAACTCCACAAGTGCCTTTTATGGTAATTTACAAAAGAAAGACATTTTCCGTAGCGCGCGAGAAAGAAGAGCACCTTAAGACTTTGAAAAATATGGGCGCTAACCTTAACTTGGACCACTCCAACATTTGCACTACTCTGCTGAAAATGTCAATGAGGCTGGGTACAAGGCTTTCTGTATGGAATCATCAGCCTCGCCAGAATTGTCTAATCCCCCTACAAGTGATGCTCCCAATCTGTGCTGCAGTCGTGAGGTCCTGTGTCAAACAAAGTATAGGCGCTCCATCACCTGCTGGATGTGTGAACACAAAGGAAATCAAGGAAAAAAGGAGGATAGACAACTGCCCTGACACTGACAGTGAAGACTAACGTATCATGTGTAGCCTATTGCCTCAGAGTTGTATTGCAGTGGTCGCATTGTTAACATTCTTATGCTGTTTTGTACTGTTTTATATATTGTACATATGTACATATGTTTTAATAAAGATTGTTTTTTTTACGGTTGATCAGTGTTGTATATATATATATATAGTTAGGAGCGAATAAATAAACAAATGAATAAACGTGGTCCTTGTCATTGATGACTTCCTTTTATTGATCAAAAAGACTTAACATAAAAAGTTCACCTTATCGTCTATTTGCCTCATTGTTCTTCGTGCAGGTGGATATGTATAAAGCACTGTTTAGAATCCATTTGGCCCACTTTAGAAGACTTTTGGGAGAATTCGATCACGCGTCGAACCGTGCCACCAAAATCGTATTACTCCCTGAAGAAGCTAGTTTGCCATAAAAAATGGGCAGGATTTTTTTGCTATGAACCTTTTGCTGTAAGTTTAACATAACAAAAATTGCAGGGAAAAAACCACGAACCGTGCCACCAAAATCGTATTACTACCTGAAGAATCTAGTTTGCCATAAAAATGGGCAGGATTTTTTTGCTATGAACCTTTTGCTGTAAGTTTAACGTAACTTGTTTTTTTTTATGAAGTTAAGATCGTGTTGTTCCCAGACGTCGAGATGAAATGATAATGGGGTTTACCTTATGGCCTATATTGGCACATTGAAAGATTACAAACTGGCTTTAGTCGTTAGCAGCAACCTCCTACGATGCACAAAATCCAAGTGCAAGGGTATGTTTCACGAACACAGTAATGCCAGTGCAAGATTTAGGATGAAAGCAAATGTCTAACATCAGGTCATATTTTACATGTGACCTCTGTAAACCATGTAGAACAAAAATTGCAGGGAAAAAAAAAAACCGACTCGTTGATGCTTATTCCTTTTATTCCCCAATTTCCTGTGGAATGACATTGCAACCAAAACATATTTTCTTTTACCTATTTGAGTTTTTTTTTTTTTTAAATCTTTAATACGATATTTACATGTATTTTCAGTGCTGGAAGAGCCATGTTTTTGTTGACTTAAGTAGAGTTCTTTTGGGTTTGTGTGCTGTGGCCTGACATTTAACTTTGTTTTTTTTATATTATTTATTTTTTGAGAACTGCGCATTTTTGTTTTTCTTGCTCTTCTTAAGTTTGTACAGACGTACAGAAGAATAACACAAAATGCATGTTCCATGTTACAACTGTTTCCGCACCTGTATTGGACAATCAAACCTTGATACCGTTCCAAAACAATGTGATGAATATTCTACCATAGATTCTCTTGACTAAAACTCTTGTGTTATTTCGTTTACTAATACTAGGCTAAGATTTCAGACTGAAACATGACTAAAACAAAGTTGTGTGTCGTTCAAAAGACTAAGACTAAATCAGAATTTGCTGTCAAAATTAACATTAACCATTTTTAAGGTTTATTATTAGTGTTGTATACACAACAAAATTGCTATAATTTTACAGAATACAGTGTGACCGCCAGCATTACTTACTTTTGTATATCAACAGGTGTCAGGTGTATGAATAAGTAATGGTACCAAATACGTGCTAATAATCATCATTTTTCTATGTAAAAAAGAAACAGGTCTGTAGAAGTTTTTAAATCAGAGTCAGAAACATCTTCATTGTTCAATTATGACTCTACATTGAAGGAATTTTACTTTTTTTTCTTTTATTCTCTTGGGCTTAAAAAAGAATCAATAAAAAGACAAGGACAGGGCTTGATACAGAAAGGGTAAACTGCACAAAGAGTCAAAATAGTCAAATAGTATATTTACACTACCATTTAAAATTTGTATCAACAGGATGTATATTAGTGTTAATGTTGTATATTTTGTTGACATTTATTGTATTGTATATATTGTATATATGCATTTTTTTTATCATTGATTTTTAATGTACACTATATAGTATTTATTAGGTCTTGACCAGGGTGATGACCTTTGGGATATAGAGAGGGGCTGAGATGATTTATATTGTGTATATGGAAGTAATGTTATTGATGTGAGAATTAAATGATAATAAGCTCTTGAGGACAACACCCAGGCTCTTAACCTTGGGGCAAACTGAAAAACTGTCAAGTGTGAGGGAAAATTAGAAGGCTGAGAAAGATTCCACTTTGATGAATTCAGTGCAGGCTGGGAAATATGAGAGGAACCAAGCCCTGTTTACTTTGTCACAACACTGCTTTGAACCTGCGTTGATTGCACGAAGAATATAAATGACAACATTTACGACTTCAGCATATTCATCCCAACTCCAGTGAAAATTGTTTCTCCCAAAAAGGCGGGCCACTCCTGTCCTTGAAGAGTGTGAATTCCCCCGCTCTTACACACTTTCCCGCTTAATGTCCACCTTGATGTTGGACCATTTCTTTTTTACTTTTGTGTATGTCTCTATAGCAATAGTTTTTTCCATTGTTATCAGCAATAATAAGGGAGTTTTTTAAAGGACCGGAATTGATTAATTTTCTTTCTGTTATTCCTTATGGGGAAAACATGATTCAAGATACGAGCACCTTGAGTTACAACGGAACGGATTATGCTCATATCTCGAGGTTCCACTGTATATATTTGTATCATTATTTATGAGGATTGTGGAAATCTATTGAGAGTATTGATATCGACTACTGAAATTCTGGTACCGTGACAACCCTTGTCAAAACACTGGTAGTTTTGATGAAATATAATTATATTCTATAATTAAACAGAAACAGAATATATTGCCCTTTTTTTACGGGTAAGGGGGTGGCTACTTGTGTGATAAAAGGGACTGAGAGCAGGGGAGTTCTTTGTGTATCTCTTCGTGTGTGAAGTGTTTAGAGGGGACTGCAGAGAAAACAGGGAGCTGAGTGTGAGTGAGTGAGAGAGTTCTACACTATGCTGATGTTTTGCAGTCCTAACGCGATGTAAACATATGTAAGTTGTTGCTTTTGGCAGCAGCACCGCTCAATTATCTGTTTCTATGAGTACTTTTTGTACTTTTTTTATACTTTATATACTAGGCCAGGCATGGGCAAACTAAGGCCCGGGGGGGCTGGATGCGACCCGTTCATCTTTTTAATCCGGCCCCCCAAACTTTTCCAAATGATGTAATTTATGTATCTTATCATTATACGTCTGCCTTTTCCTTGCAATACCCAATTTTCCCCAATAGGTGGTGTAGAAACTTTTAAAAACATTTTAGCGTTATTAGCTTTTATGCATGACTTTTACATGTCATTTATCTTAGTTCACATGATAATTCACCCTCCCCGTTCAATTTTAGGGCAACTGTGGCCCGCGAATCAGAAAGTTTGCCCACGCCTGTACTAGGCCCAGAGAACTCATTGTGGCCAATGAGTTGATAATTCAAAGATATATACATTGACTACCCATAGAGGGCAGTGATATCCAAGTGCAAAGCCTAATACAGGATTACATTTCCTAGGGATTGTGTGTGCCATTTTAAACTTTATACCCTTGCTATCAGTCTGGGAGATGGCGAGAAGAAGAAAGCACTCCTGTCAACAGTATCGGGACATGGTATTCTGGATGTTTACCACACATTTGCCTTCACAGAAGAGGAAAAAGACAAATATGAAGCGGTTTGAAATATGAAGTTTGAACAGTATTGCACACAGGAAAGAATTAACCTACGAAAGGTAGGAGAGGAAGGTAGAAAGAGGTAGAAACCAAATGCAAAAAAAAAAAAAAAAAAAAAAAAAAAAGAAGAGAGATTTAAGAGTCAGTCATCTAATTTTGGGACATGGTGTGACCCAGTGATCCAAAACCGAATTGTCATTTGAGTTCAGGACAACAGAGTGAGAATACACCAGTTTGACTTATACTTAAAAGGCAATAAAAAATATGCCAAACATTAGAGAGTGTTAAAGCCCAAGGAACACATCTGATAAAAGAACCTTGGTGATAGCAAAGGACATGAAGCAGAAGAACAAAGATTCCAAAGGCTATGAGGGATGTTATAGTTATGATGCCCCCAGTGTCCTGCATTTGAAAAAGGGAAGTGGGTCCAGCTGCAACAGGACTCAATAACAGAACATGGGCCAAAAGAGTGAATCTGTACTGCTACATGTTGGTGTTCTTCACATCATCATTAAGGAGGAATACAAGTGATGTGGACATTTCTCCAGGCAGCACTGTCAAGGCTGCTGTTCTGAAATGAACACAGAGCGCTTTATCAAATAACAGATTATAAAACCCAGAATTCTCTCTCTAATGAAGATACTTTTTTTCTTTCTTTTGTACTTATTTTACCACACATCTTCTGAAGTTCTGAAATTCCTTTCCACGCTGACGTTAAACTTCACAATAAGTACCTTAATGTTCATGTCAACAACAAATTGGACCAGACTACAAACACCAGTGTCAGACAGGGCCAAACTTGTCTCCACCTGCTGAGCAGACCAAGGTTCTTCCAATTGTGCAGGACACTGTTAACACAGTGGTTGCATCTGCAGAGCCTTATGCTGGTGTTTGTTAGCGAGAGGGGGTACACAGAGAGGGACAGTGACGGTCTATACAGGTTGGTGTAGAGACAGCTTGGTGCAACTGGCCTCTGGACAAAAGGGAAAAAGTGAGAGGAGGAAACTTTCAACTTTCAAAAGTGGTCACTTTTAGCTTAGCTTATTAGAAGTGCCACTTCAAGTGGATAATCTTACATTGTAGTTAGTCACGTTTGAAGGAATGATCCTTCCCTGAAATATTGGTCCCATACATCATCTGAAATTGACATAATTTGCAACGAGGTAGGTTTTCAGGGAGTGGATATGGTTATAAAGGGGCAGAAATTGTCTCGTAGGAAGAGGAATAACCATCGATATCTGTTGGCGCTGATGGACTGGTAATGTAAGGATACAAACAAAGTCATGTACCTAAATGTATCTAAAAATATGATACATGGAGGAGAGTGTTCCGAACAGTACCCAAATACAGCCACGTAGAAACCATCTGCAAATCCGAAGACCGAAGTTTGGCTGGAGATTGCCCGATGGGAACGTTTGTGATCCCCAATGGCTTAATCAATGGCTCAAGAGTAGGCCTAACACCCCTAGGCAGCCAGTGTGAAAATAGGCTGCAATGATTTTTTTTTTTTAACACGGGGAGGGGCAGCGATTATGTTCTGCACTTACCTTTTGTCAGCCTAAGCCGCTGAACAGACATTACTATGCATAAAATATCACAGGAGCAATAAAATACGTTTCTCGGCACACTGTCACATTAGATGTGCTTGTTATATAGCTTAATAGTTGGATCATTGTAGTTGGATCATTGGTGTTGGAACCGTTCGTTCTGTCAGGCTGTTTGTGAGGTTCCTATTCTGTTTTTCCTTGGGATCACACTCACCTGTTGGTAATTAGCTTCGCTTGTGTCACCTGGTGCTCCCTGTGTATATATACCCCTCTCCCTCACTCTGTCCTGGTTGGATCATTGTTGTTGGAGCAGTGTAGTTGGAGCATTGTAGTTGGATCATTGTTGTTGGATCATTGTAGTTGGGTCATTGTAGTTGGATCATTGTTCAGTTCGTTCTGTCAGGCTGTTCGCGAGTTTCCTATTCTGTGTTTCCTCGTGTTCCGTGTTACAAAGAGAATCCCATGCCTGGTAGTTCTTCGTGTTTCCTTAATTTGGACTTTGTTAATAAAACTACCTGCACCAGTACTGCACTTGGGTTCTGCCTGCTTCCTGTCGTTGTCCGCATGTGACATAAACTGATAAACTTATAAACTTAACACCCAGTCTGGGTTGTTCGATTTATTGGTTGATACGTCCTGGGTCTAACAAAATTCTGATTAGACAATTTTTTTTTTTTTTTTTTAAATAATGTCTTTGTGTTAATTTCATCTAGAGGAAACCCTAACCCTACATAAAGATAAACAAAGGCTAAACTATGCTCCAGTTGATTCCATAAATTATCCCTTAGCTTTTTTCCTCTGTGCTAAAATAGACCGTTGCAAAAATCCTGATCTGTATCTTTATTGTGGGATGTAATGTGCAAGACTATGTCAGGATTAAACTATTTCTCATTTGGGAGTCTATATTGTCTACATATGTAGGCATTGGGCCCAATACACATTCTCATGCTGGGTCTCACAGTTATATTTGTGTATAAAAACTCCTTGCTTTTGTTTTCTCACGAAGGAGCACTAATCTGTCCCTGCTGGATTCCACTGGAGCTATGGTGTCTATTGACCCTACCATGCCACACAACACAGAAAGGTAAGGAATAGCATGTTACATCACAAATTGTTGTGAGAATTATCAGTTTTTTTTCTTTTGTTTTTTTTTTTTTTTTCTATGCAATAAGTATACATGTCTGCATGTTTTTTCCGTAGCACTTTTACCTTAACTTAACCACTTTTTTTTTTCAGGAATTAGATACTAAATTGACTTTAAGGTGATAAACATATTTTCAATAAATATGTCAATACCTTAAAAAATAAGGTAAAATGATGCAAAATTAGTTTTACGTTATAAATATGGGGAATATGAGTTATGATTTAGGTTTCATTATAATAATAATAATAGTAAGAGACATCTTTTTACTTTACTTTTAAATTAGGGATGTCTGATAATATTGGCTGACCGATATTATTGGCCTGATACTAGCATATATTGTAATAATTGCAATAATCGTTATCGGGTTTTTCCTCCGATAATGAAAACAAACGAAATTATGTGTGTCTCCCAAACCCGTAGCTCGTAACTGCTTCATAACAAACGAACAGAACGTTATCAAACGCTAAACAAGCCTCTGGTCACTAGATGGCAGCATTGCAGCCCATTTTATTAATCTATATTGACAATCAGGGGATTGTATGAAGAATGCTGGTGCCAACAACTCTTACAGTGGTTCTTGTGGATAAAAAAATAAATATTACTAGGCGCCTAATAGTATTTTAATTCTGTTCCCTAGGAGGGCAGAAAATAATAGAGAAACACTGTTATAACCTATCATGTTAGTGAGCAGGCAACACTTAAATTCCACCACTGCCCCGCTATATCGGTTGATATCGAAGTCAGAAATGAAGTGTTTGGACAATATTGGCATGTTGGTTATTGGGGAAAAAATGCATTAAAATCTATATTGTGACTTGTATTATATTGCTGGACAATATTGGCATGTTGGTTATTGGCAAAAAACGAATTAAAATCTATACTTGTATTATATTGTGGGCTATTTTATTTCCCTCTCAAGGAGCAGATCACATACTTATTATAGATACAAAGTACAAAGTACCGCAAGGAGCAGATCACATACTTATTATAGGTACAAAGTACCAATTAAACATTACAATATACACTAGCACAAATATAGTCAGATGTTTATGCTACGAGGCTTGTTCTTCTTTCCCTTGTTTTCTCCCCTCTTGTGTCTCTATTTTTCTTATTCTCTTAAACATACTGTATCTAACATACTGACACGCACATTACATCCACACACCTTATAACCAGCACTTCCCCCTGTAGACATTTTTTTGTTTAATTTGCATTGTTTAAATAAGCTTTATATTGTTTACCATCTACTTTTTCTGTTGCGTCTCATTATGTGATCACATGATGAGATTTAATGTTACAATTTAAAAAAATCTTCACCCTTCAGTCGGACTTTACATGAGCTGACTGTTGCCAAAAGGAATAGCACAAAGTGTGATGGATTAAATATATATATAGCTTTGTAGTAAGATCAACTGTAAGTTTACAACTAACCTTTGCTTTTTTGTTCTTTTGGCTTGCCGCTGTGTTTAAAGGTCACCTTACCGAGTGTTGCCTTTGACTGGAGGACAGCTTGCTGGTAAGTTGTTGATAACACTCAAATTGAACCATAAAAAGATATCAATAAAGATCAAGAATGTATTTGTGCATGTAACACGTAACAGTACGTTTATATGAATATTCTTTTAATGGCTAAGTTTAATAACATTTTTGTTGACATTATTGTAGCATACTTGGTGTTGTTGATTCAGCACTGGTTCAGTCCCATGCATATAATTGTTCCTTAGCTCCCTTTATCAAATGAGTATGGGTGGTCAGTTGTCTTCAAAACTGAAACGGGGCAGTTTATGTGTGCCCATGTAGATCATGGGGCTCTTTGCACTAACACCACAACACATTGTGGCTCTTAGCCTCTTGACTGGTTGGGCACCCCCTGCTGGAGATGCTTACAGCTACGTGGATTTCGCTAACGCGTTGGTTGTGGAGAAGAGGGACGCACGGAGAAAAGCCTATACATGAGCAGTTGAGCGACAAATCCAAATGATTCCTGTGCTTAAATTGCAAGCCGAAGCTGGGAGTGTTGCCTGAGAAATTGCTTTTGCTGCTCTATTGTGGGCAGTAGAGTTGAATGGCTCTTGGTTTACAGCCAAACGGCTGATCCCCGCACTACAAGCTTCGAGGAATCTTAGTTTATTATCCTGAAAAATGACACAACACATAATAGAAGTTCTGTTTGAGCAAAGAAAACAGTGGGAAAAGACCGTTAGCAATAAAAAGTAATGAAACTGAAAGTATGACTGAAAAATCCAGTAAACAGGTTGAAATATTACAGAGCGGATATATGGGAGAAAAAAAAACAACGTTAAACTAATGAAAAGACACATGAAGTAGCCTCACAGTTGAAGAGGCCTTTTGATTCTTACAGAAGAACAGGAAGGTGTCTGCATTGAATGTTTTGCGCAATGTGTCATTGCTCTGTGTGGATTATAAAATCCTATTCAAAGAACTGGCCTCTGGTTTGAGGAAAGCATTAGTAATGTGTAGGGCTGCTTGATTATGGCCAAAAATCATAATCATGATTATTTTGATTGTTATTGAAATCATGATTATTCAAAATGATTTTATTTATTGATTTGCGAATTTGCTTTTATGATTAAACTTTATTCAATGTTAAAGAGCCAAGAAAATATAAATAATATTGTAACTTGTTACAGCTTGTTATAGCTAGAATATATATGCATATATTAAAAATAAAAATATCTCTCTCAACACGTGAAGCTTCTGTTTGTATTCGGGGGCGTCACACAATTGGCACAATAATTGTTTTATTTTGATTGTCTTGTTTTCGTGATCGTCGTAAGCCAAAATTGTAAATCAAATTTCGATTAATCGCCCAGCCCTAGTGGTGATCCAAAGTTACTGCGCTGGTAGATCCACTTAATTCTACATATTTTCGAGTCTCGATGTTTTGTCTCCAGCTCATTTTGTTTGAACACTAGTCTGATTTTTTTTTGTAGCTCAGGAAAAACCTTTTGTTAACATTAAACACTACTTCTTGTTAGAGGTTGCAATTTTTGCACCATTTTGCTGTGTGATTTGCTGATAGCTCTTGATCACTGATTCCATTTTATTTCCCCAGTTGACAGCAATTACAAATACTAAAAGATGTTCGGCAGCCCAAACAAGTAATTATGAAACATTTTCCACTCCACTCACTCCTCAGTTCAACAACCTAAAAAAAATATTTTTATAAAACTAAAAATAATCAAAATACAACATAAGATAGCAGATAATACAAATAATATTATTTAAAAAAAACTATACCAAAATATATATATGCTCTTTAATGTGCACTGTCACAATATACTGAATCCTGTACATGTATTTAACATTTTCACAAACTATAGTAGTTAATAGGTGTGGTGCTTTGGACCCCAGGGTTCACCTCCTGGGGTCCGTTTCTTGAAGCGGGCTTCAAGCTCAGTTGCTTAAAAGAAATGAATGCCAGGAAAGAATTGAGACCACAACTAGATATTTTAACACTACCTGAAAGTTGTTTTTTTTTTTTCCTAAACCACTAAGCCTGTTTGAAGGATATCTTTGTATTTGGTCATAATTTGAAAAAAAAAATGTGTCGGAAATCGTTATAGACATGCAGCAGTGTTTCTTGCTCCACCGGAATGAAGCAAAAGGTGCGGAACATGACATGGTTCGTGTTATCGGCGCTAAATTGAGCAAGCATTCATGTGTAGTCAGGCACAAGCGCCACTCAGACTTAACTCAGGCTAATTGTAAAACCGGAAAGTCAGACTTGGACCTCTCCGGCTTCTGCAAGCTAGAGCTGTGACTTTAACTTGCAGTTTCGTGAGTCCGCTTTGAGAAACGGACCCATGGGTAAGTTCAAATCCTGGTTAGGGTGGTTGGTGCCTTCCAGTGGTCTTGGAGACTGCTGCCCCTGCGACCTGGTAACGGATAAGCGGATGGAAATGGATGGATGGATAGATAGTTAATAGGTTCCAGTCAATATCCCATTAAAAAACAACGATGTTGTTTCCTTTATATCCCAGAGCAAACAGTAAACATACACAGTTGATACCAGCAGAACTGCTATTGTTTCATCTTTTTATTGAGGACTGAGGATTTTAAACTTTCTTGTGTACTTAACTCGCGCTAACTAAAAGAGCTACACCAAAATACACACAACCTTTGTTTTCGATTTTTTTTTTTTGCACGCCATTGTTCAACTCCTGAACAATCGCGTTTAAGTGTCACATTATGTTTGTTGTCCTGAACCACTTCATGGTGGAGCCTGTCGGTCGTGAGCCAGATGTGGCTCTTTTGATGTCTCCATCTGGCTCTCAGATACATCTTATCTTGAATTTCTTAACACAATAAGTAATAAATCATTTCACTGATATTCAAGTAAAGCATTACAGGAATCATGGTGTTTAAATAATATAAAATAACTTTAATGCCAATTGCATCAAAACCATGCAGAAGTCACATTAATAGTAAGATGTTTTTTATGCATTAAATAGTGTAACAACGTTATTAATTTCCAAAATAACTTTAATTTTTTTTTAATACTTCAGGCTCATACTAACATTTTTGGTCTTGTTTAAAAATTCATACGTTTAATTGTATTCAGAGCAACAACAAAAAAGTATAACTCTCACGGAAATACATTTTAAAATATGTGACTTTTTTTGGCTCTCTCTGCTGAAAAGGTCCCTGGTTTAGACAACAAAAATGAAAAGAAAAAATAGACACTCTCTCGTTTTTTCTCACTCACTGAACTAAGAGGCAGGTCAGTGCACAAAATGATATGACGAAACCCAACAACGATTTCTTAGAGAAAAAAAAAAACGCCAATCCCGCAAAATCAAATCGATCGATCAGTACATCCCTACTTTCTCTGGAAAGTAATGAAATAGTTCAGGTTCAGCGGCAACTTCATAGCAAAGGAGTTGTACATTAGGATTAACAGTGCGCTGGAACTGTAGTTGACAGTCAATGACACAGCATTTTCCCAGGTCTTCCTAGGGGAAAACTACTGAATTAAGCACCTAAGAGTGCTTTAGGTTCTAAGGTTTTGTTGTTGTTAACAAAAATTGGGAGACTGGTTCTAGTTGGATCTTAATAGCTCTTAAAAGTTTATGCTGAGTAAAAAACTTTAGTTTACTTTTTGTCTTTACCCCATATTTTAAATGTCTTTTAAAATGTTAAAGGCATTGTGTTTCCTCCCTTCTCTTGCTTTTTTTTTTTCTATTTCTCACACAACACAAATGCACAAGTAAAACATCAGTTGTCACCTCTGCATGTTTGTAGACGGTTCCTGCGCTCCGGCATAAAATCGATCTGTGTGGCTGGTGCTTAAACAACAACGGTGATCATCTCAGACCCTACAGCTGAACATGTCCATATAATGACAATGCTAGTAACTGTCCTAACAATTATTTCACTAACCCACACTGGCCTCTGACCTTAACATGAAAGCTAGAATGTAAGCGACACACTGTATTCCCACATTCTCCCGTGGCTCTAAGTTTATTGACCCCCTGCATTGAACTTTGCCCACACCTGTGGAGCTCTCAGCCAATGACGCGCCGTTGTGTCCATCCTGTTCCTTGTGTAAGGGAAGAGGAATAACAAGTAATGTGTTAATGTATCAAGCTCTCAGCCACTTCCTTTTCACGGGTGAGTAAAAGGGGGTGGAAAAATACAACCTTTTTACTCTGTTTCTGTTACTTGCTGTGAACTGTTGCCTTGGTCATATACTCTAGGGTTACGTGACGGAGCGTGTGTGTGTGTGCACTTGTTGCTTTTTCAGATGTTTCGGATGTACACCGTCAATGTTTGGGTATAATAACCAGAAGTTCTTATTTACAGTTCATGTAACTGTCGTTGCCCAAACATATCCCTCTGTGTTTGTGTCTGTGAGTTATAACAGACACAAACACAGAGGGGGTTTGTGCATGAGATAGTCTGTAACTGAACTTACACAGATGTAAATTGTTGCTCTTTCCACAGATAAAGAGGAACTCTTCCAGAATGTACTCACCCAAGTAGCTGAACAGTTTTCACGGTAAGCTGGACTAACTATGCTGATTAGATGTTGAACTTTTCATGTATTATGGAATACAGTGCACACAACTGCAGTTCTGCATATTACAGGAATCAGGAATATGTTTTGGCCATTTGTTGTTTTCGAGTTGTCTTAATATAACTCGCACTAATGAAGGTTCTTCTGTAAAATCTGACTTCAATATTAGTTATATAGAATAGTAGAATTGTGTTTTTGATTTGTCTTGTATAAACTGTAGACTGTAGATTCATTTTTTACACTGGGTGTAAAACGAGTTCTACGCATTACTCTAGTTGCATGACATAAAAGGTGAATAAAAGTTCACGTTAGCAAATGCACGTGGGACAGGAGTAGTACAAAAGCAATTCAGCAGAAGGCGATTGAAGCAAAAACTAAGTTGATTTTAAAGTAAATGAAGTTTATGTTTCATTTGTTTCTTTTAATTTTCCTTCTTTTGCTAAGGTTAATTTAACTGTTTCATACATTTTTCTTTGTAAACATCAACTAATCAACTCTATATATGTGCTCATGTTCTCCTTTTCTGTTTAAGGGCTTTCAAAATCAATGAGCTAAAGACAGAGGTCACCAACCGTCTTGCCATGTTGGAAAAAAGAGTAGAATGTAAGTGTACCCTTTCTTGTTTAAATGTTGTGATCTATTGTTGCACTAAAGTTTAGTCACATGTATGACAAAAAATGTCAAAAGTGGTAGGGTACTTGTCCGTTATGAAGAAGACTCAAATAGGGTTTGAACTAAGTTAGATATCTAAGTGCCACAACTATTAATCTCAACGCTCTGGGTAAAACTGTGCTATAAACCTATTAGTACTACTACCGTGACAACTCATAGTGGAGAAAACAAATGTTCTAGTGCTCTGAGGCTGAGGGATCTGTACCAGACCCTAAAATTTACTCATGTCAGCATACTGTAGGGAACTTGCTAATCTCGTACTGTGATTGGAGTCATATTGTTTGATAAAAGGATATTAACCACCAAAAAACATTACATTGTTTGAGGTAAACATCAAGTACACTACCAAATAATATAATAGTGCATACGTCTTTATATTTAAAAGAGAAGCAGAGGAAAATGTACCACATCACACAGTAATCAGGTTTCTCATTTAAGAGATATGAAAATACAGGCTGGTGATCTGTCTGCTGGGCATTGCTGCCTGACGCACCTCCACCAGTGCCTTTGTCCTGGCGTGCTCATCTGAATGCCTCCCTGGGCCCCACTAGTGCCTGAGTGTCACGGGGTGGGGATTAGGGCTGTGGCAGGGGAATTATTGGGGGTCATCCTTAAACTTACCTTCAGGGTATGGGAAGGAGCTGAGGTAAGGGATGGGGTGGAATGGGGTGGACTTACTGGACTATGGCTTTTCCTGATTAGTTGGATGTTTTTTATAAATTGACTTACTGTAAGACACATCTTCAGTAGTGGACCTTGGGGTCATTGAGTGTTTCGGCCAGTATCACTAGACACTCTCCCCCTAAGAAGGCCCCGCTGGGGTTGCTCATGCCCCAGGGTGTGTCTTGTTAACTAATTACTATTAGGTTTGTAACTACATTCCTAACTTGATTGTAGCTTGA